CCTTGAGTGTCTATTTTAGTCTCGTTTGAGTTACGTTCCCATCTTAATCTTAATGTTTGTAACCTTTTTTCGTGTGTGTGAATGCAGTCAGTTGATATCTTGAAATACACTGACGAGGAGTATGAGAATCATTTAACGGACCCTGTAAGTGTCTGTTCAAGGAAGGGTTTCTGTTTTGTGCTTTAGCAGTAGTTGTTTTATGCTTTTATGTATGAAGTAAAGACATGTCCTGCATAGTAACTGTACATGCTTGTTGTGGACAATGTCGACTTGGCTGATTGTGCTTCAACTTGCAGGTGTGGACCAAGGAAGAGACAGATCAGTTGTTTGAATTGTGTGACAGGTTTGATCTCCGCTTCACTGTAATAGCTGATCGGTTTCCGTTATCGCGGACTGTGGAGGAATTGAAGGATCGCTACTACAGTGGTATGTTTGGATCTTATCTGTTTTCAGACCATTATCCTTTCACTTACACCTTTTCCTTTCGCTTATTTTCATCTTTAGATGTGTGGCACCAGGGTTCGTTAGAAAATACAAGGACTGAGATTTCTCTTACGTACTTTCTTTTGTAGTATCCCGGGCCCTGCTGCGTGCTAGAGCTCAGTCTCCAGCAGATGTTGCAAATCATCCCCTGATGAAGGTCAGCTTCCTCATATATCTATTCATAGCAGACTAAGAAGAAGTCTTATGTTCATATATTTGTAGTTTATTTTAGCAATCTATCATTGTCGTGTTTTTTGGGAGAGAACAGCTCTCTTAATACTGTTTTCCTATATATTGGCATAAACAGGAGCCATATGATATTACACGCGATAGAGAGCGCAAGCGCGCATTGACCATGGTCCTGTCTCAGAGTAGACATCAGGAGAAGAAAGATGCTGAGGTATTTCTATTGAATTTTGAGTCTACCTGCAACCAAATTAATATAAATAGTTCTTCGATTTCTCTTACCCGTCTACCATAACTACAGATTCTTGCTGAGGCTAAAAGAATCACAGAGATGCGTTTGGCTGCACGTGTAAGTGTTGGGCTTATATAAATATACTCCCTCTCACTAACTGAATAATAGTGGATGGAATTTTCTAACCATGATTGCATATAGCCTTTTACCTTAGACGCTTATCAGAACTCTATCTTCATCATCTTGTTTCTAAAACTATTCGTCTTTCTGGCTGTCTGGCTGTCAAGCGTGCGGAAGAGCCTGATGTGTCTGCGAATGAGAATGTCGGTCTTGATAGAGCTGATGGGGTAGGTATAGGGCGTAGTGTATCTCCATCATCCAATTCTCAACTTCCTGCTACTGCTGTGGCTCCATCAACACTAACTATGGCAGATTATGCCTCTACCCTTGCTTCTCTGCGCATGGTGAGTGTCTCTCTCTTCTTCTTTCTTTCCCTTTTCCACTTGGGAGTTATCTGATTCTTTCTGGTCAATCTGTCAAATCCAGCTCCATGTATACCTGAGAACCTATGGACTTGAACAAATGGTCCAAGCTGCAAGCTCTGCTGTTGGTCTTCGAACGATCAAGCGTGTTGAGCAGACTCTACAAGATCTCGGGGTTTGTTTTTTCTTCTAGTTCTGTTTAAGTCTTTCTATTTGTCTTATATCATTTGCTCATCTTTCTCGCTGATTGATGAATGAGACTTATCTAATGCCTCATTTGATTGGGGATACTTGTAAGATTTTCCAAATGGATTTTGAGTATATAGAGTTTTCTGGTTTACAGGTTAATTTAAAGCCAAAGGTTCCTACAAAAACCGTATGTGATGAGCATCTTGAATTACGAAAAGAAATTTTAACACTACTGAATCTTCAGAAGCAGGTAAACCATACAAAGTTTCCATATAAAGCATATATCTCATATAGATTCACAACTTCTTCCGAACATGGTCTGGTCGTAATTTCAGCTGCAATATAAGGAATCAGAAGGTTCATCACATCGTGAAGGTTCATATGCCGCAATGCCAGATACTCCAAAGGTCAGCATCAAACTTTGATGGCTAATTCTTACTGCAGTTTCATCTTCTTATTGATATCTCTAATCCTTTCATATTTGATCAGGATCGTGTTTTCGCTACTGACCCATTCAGTTTCGGAGGTACATTTCCTTTTCTTTGTTTCAGCATTGTATCTACTACTTGATCATCACTAACTTCATTTTGTGTGTGTGTGTGGATTTCAGCTGAAAGACAAATCAAGAAGGAACCTAAGCGCAAGGTAGTGCATCTTTCTTTTCATTTCGATTTCTCTGAAATCTTCTGCGTATGTAAGTCTAATTCTCAATTACAATATGTTTGTGAATCCTACAGGGTCCTGGAAGACAAGCAGACAGTCCTCTACCAGCTCATAAGCGGCCCAGAAAAATGAAAGCATCTGATCTCTAGACTCCGTACTCAGTGCATACAAATTCACAACTTTCATGTGTATGTATCTGCGTTTTTTTCGGTTGATTCCAGACGCTACACTGTTGTCAGTTCTTGAATCGTCGCAACTCGCAAGAATCAATCTTTCAAGTCTCCTTTTGAACCTTACACTGTGTAGACCGGTCTAAAACTCATCAACCTACAATAGAGGTCATCATGCAGAAGAATACGAATCAAATGAATTAATAAATTAAAAACCTTTGTAAATCTGTTCTTAACAACTTTAACTTACATATGCTTATTACAATACAACAATCTCAGTGATCACAGACACAACTACACTGTTTTCAGTTCCAAGAATCAATCTTTTCAAGTTTCTTTTTGAGTCCTACACTGTGAAGACGAATACAAAAAAACCTTTGTAATGGATAATTAATCTGTTATTAACAACTTAATCGAAATGCTTAAAATACGATAATTGCACATTTGACAAGGTAGCAAGCAACCATTCGTCTTCTTTTCATACTAATTCTAATCGGCGCCTGAAAATGAATAAAAGCTTCGACATTTCTGACGATTGATGAACCATCTCCTAAGAAGAAAGGTGCTTCTTTTAGGGTTTCTATAGGATCAAAGGTTGGATTTTTCTACACTAATGAGTAAAAATCAAAGTGTGTCACTGAGAAAAGGTAGTCAAATCGAGGTCAGTTCTGAAGAAGATGGCTTTGAAGGAGCTTGGTTTAAAGCATTCCTTAGAGATCCTCCAGAAAAATCTTCAAGCAAAAAGTTGAGAGTCATGTACAGGGATTTGAGAGCTGAAGATGGTTCCATTCTTTGCAAAACCGTTTACCGGAGTTTTATCCGGCCAGTACCGCCGGAGAATCTCTTCTCCACCGGAGATTTTGAGGAAGGCACTATAGTGGATGTGGCTCAGAGAGACGGTTGGTGGACTTGTGTGTTTGTGAAGAAGCTAGAAGATGAGAAGCATTTGGTTTACTGTGACTCTCCACCAGATCTAGTCCACTATAAGAGAGAACAACTCAGACAACATTTTGACTGGATCAATGAGGAATGGGTCAGACCACAAAACAAGGTACGAGGTTTATGATGCCTTTCCTTTGATATGTGTCTTTTTCCTCTGTGTTTCTCAATTTTGTGTCTTTTTTTTTGGTTTTTGTGTGAAGCAATTGAGTACTAGTAGGTCCGGATTTAGTTGTGGAACAATGGTGGAAGTCATGGAGAAAAGTAATGATGTTGTGTGGTGGGTTCCATCGGTAGTTGTTAAGGAGATGGAAGATAAGAAGAGTTTTATTGTCAAGTCTTGCAAGCACTTGAGCTGGAACGATAAAGTGAAACGCACCAGAACCGTTAGTTCTCGCAACATTAGGCATGTACCGCCTCCGTTATCTGTTGAAAACTATGAGTTGAGGGAACCTGTTGAAGTGTTATTTGATCAAGGATGGCGTCAAGGGATAGTGACTGTGACAAAAAGTATACGGTGAGTTTCGAAGCGACAAATGAGTCTTTTTTGTCGGTGTTGCAGCTATGCCTGATGTCCTAGAGTATTTTGCAAGAAAAAAGAGACACTTTAGATAAATTTCATCAATAAACAAGGATCAAGAGAAACTGCTTGAAGGATTATATGACCAACCATAGAAAGTAACTTCTTGATGATGGTTCTCCTTTGGGATGCAGGAGAGTAACGAAGATAACAATCGAAAGAGAAAAAGAGAACAAATCCTTGGTTCTACTGCTAGTGTTGAGGAAACAATAATAGTTTTGCCCTTTGAGAAGAAGTTACGGATTTGGAAGAAACTTGAATCAATGGAAGTATTTAAAACAGTCCCACAATCTCCACATTTCAGCCCGTTGGTGAATGCTCCTGAGGAATCCCGTGAAATGTCTGCGTAGCTATGTTGACTTAGTAGAAGTCGAAGATCTGCAACTTTTCAGTCCCATAAGCAGATTAAAATTCCTCAATGATTCTTTCGCCGAGCCAGAGAAGTACGGGTTTGCTGTAAAAGAGCCTCAGTCACGGATCCACAAGCTAATGTTCCTCAAAGATAGGCAAGCAAAGAAAATGGAGGAATTTGAAGCTGCCGAGAAAGAGATTGCAGAGAATGAAAGCAAAAAGGTTGAGATCGAACTGAAGATTCTCGAGCTGCAGAGGAAAAAGGAGAAGGCAGGCAAAAAGCTTGAAGATGTGGAGCTTGAGTTTCAGAACAACTGTGTTGGCTCCATTGTAATTCGTTAAACAAGAGAAAAATGTTTGAGCTCTAAGTTAAGCACTCATTCATTGTCCAGCTCGTTAGTTTAGGGCCAGTAGCTATATTTATTTATTTATTTTCTTTTCATAATTTTAATCGGCGCCAAAAAAAAAATGAAAAAAAGCTTCGACTTTTCTGATAATTGGTGAAGCAAGCAAGTCATGTGGGTTTCTTTCATTTTTCCATTATAAGAAATTTCTTATCTTCTTGACCGAAAAAGGAAAACAAAAGTGGGTTTGGGGTTTCCGAAGAAGAAAGGTGGTTCTTTTAGGGTTTCTATAGATTCAAAGGTTGGATTTTTCTCTTCTTTTCGGTTTCTACAGTATGAAGAAAGATCAAAGTGTGTCACTGAAGAGACAAAGTGAAATTGAAGCTCGTCCTGAAGAAGATGGCTTTGAAGGAGCTTGGTTTAAAGCCATTCTCGTAGAGTTTCCAAAGAAATCTGCAGGGAGAAAGGTGAAAGTCCGCTACTTGGATTTGAAGGCTGAAGATGGTTCTCCTCTTCGCGAAACTGTTTACCGGAGATTTGTCCGGCCAGTACCGCCGGAGAATCTTTTCTTGGTTTAAAGTCCAGATTTAGCTGTGGAACAATGGTGGAAGTGATGGAGAAAACGAATGATGTTGTGTGGTGGATTCCATCGATCATTGTTAAGGAGATGGAAGATGGGAAGAATTTTATTGTCAAGTCTTGCAAGTACTTGAGCTGGAATGACGAAGTGAAACCCACAAGAACCGTTAGTTCAAGCAAGATTAGGTCTGTACCGACTCCAATATCGGTTGAAAACTATGACTTGATGGAACCTGTTGAAGTGTTTAGGGATCCAGGATGGCGTCAAGGGATAGTGAAAACCATTCTCTGTGACAATAAGTACACGGTGAGGTTAAACGCGACAGATGAGCTCTTGGTGTTCCAACACTCAGATATAAGACCTTTGAAAGAGTCGTTATCCGAACGGTTCATGGTTAGTGTTTCATCCCCTGAGAATCAGAATGGCTTTGGAGCTGATTCAACTAAAGAGAAGGTAAATTTAATCGATTTTCATGCCTTGTGTATTGGTTTTGGCTGTTTGAGAAGGGATCTTCCTGTTCTTATTGGTGAACTCCTTTTGTTTTTACTATTGATGTGTAGGGAATGGGATCATCGTTAGCTCAAGAATCGGGAAATCAAATGAATGGTGATGCTACACCTGGCATAACCCCTCAAGTTATACCAATAGGTAGTTCTTATCTTCTTTAGCTCTAGTTTCTGTTGGATTCTGTGTTAAATGGTTTAACTTTAACCTCACTAGTGGTATTAACACTTAGTATGAGCTTCTTTAGCTCCAAGATGTGATGGATTCTCTTTCTGCATCATGAAACTGAGCTACATTGTCTCTGTTTCCAGAAACTGTTCCACCTGTAAGCCCGGTCATAAACGAAACACTGGTGAAAGAACCAGCGGCCAAAACTCAAGGAGAGGCATCCCCTGAGAAGACCATTCATAATGGCTTGGGAATTGATACAACTGGAGAGAAGGTAAAGTAATAATATATATGGTTTGGTTTAACATTTAGTCATTCTAACTCTCTTGCTACTACATCTTTGATTGTTATTTATCTTTGAGATGGTTTTCCTTTGGGTTCTACACTTTTTATGCAGAGCATAACACGCAAGAATACACTCGTAAAAGGAAAAGGGAACAAAACTCAAAGCTTAGCGACGCTGGTATGTCTATAAATTGGTATCTGGCCATATTAGGTGATGTTTCGTGTTTCTTACCGAATCTTAATCTTATACTAATTGAGTATCTTATAGGTAAGTCTTGCAATGGTTCAAAGGATCTGATCACTGATTCAATTGACGATGATGATGATCAGCCTCTCTCTGCTTGGATCCTTGGAAGAAAATCATCTACTGCTTCTGATAAATCAAGTAAGACAAATTTTTTTTTTTTTTATAATATATAAATTTTCTCTATTGCATAGCTTATTAAAGAAAATTCCTTTTTTCTCTTGTGACTGCAATGATCTATCCAGCGTTATCCTCTGATCAGTGTCGCAACGCCTTTAAGAATTCAGCTGTTGATGAAACCCGAGCAAATGAAGATACAACCATGGTTCTGCCTTTTGAGAAACATTCGCCGATTTGGAAAAAGGTTGAATCACTAGAGGTATTTTAAAACAAGAAAGCAGAGTCCTCATTTCCGCCCATTGCTCAATACAAGAGAAGAGCTTCGTGAAGGGCTCGCCATGGGTGTGATGGTGACCTTTTCCTTGTTATTAGAGAGACTAAAAAATCTGCGATTTCACGCTCCTCGAAGCACACTAGAGAGTCTCAAAGAAAGCTTGAGGAGTATGGGTTTGATATTAAAGCACACATATCGCGTATCAACTTGTTGCTCTCTCTCAAAGATAGACAAGTGAATACCGTGGAGGAGCTAAAAGCTAAGGAGAAAGAGAAGCAAAAGGTTGAAGAAGATTTGAGAGCTGTTGAGTGCAAGTTTTCTGAGCTGCGGAGTCAAGAAGCGGTCTTGAAAGAAAAGAAGAAGGCGTCGGAGTCACGTGCATCAGCTCTTGACAGTAAGATTCAAGATATGGAGCTTGAGTTTCGGTCGATTGTCTCAGCTTCTTTGTGGTGATAATAAAACTCCATATGATCGATCAACCTTAAACTCCTTTTATGTAGTAGAGTTAATGTTAGTATCAAAAGTATGATGAATTATCTAAATTTAAACCATATCTTAACTTCAATTTCCTTATTGTAGATCCAGATCTA